TAAATGTTCTCCTATGGTATTTCTAACCCCCTATTACCTTACAGCCACACTGAGCTTGGTGAGGAGAATGGCCTACTGACAATGGGAAAAAACAGGCTAGTGCATAGGCATTTTTATAAATCAGCACAAATAAAACAGACAGCAGAAATGGTGAAAAATTAAATGTAATTCTTCAGAATGCCTGCAGTGCCACTAATCCAAAATGTGAGTAGTAACACAAACAAAGGAATTTTGGATCCTATTTTTCCTCCCATTTAAAATAAGCTTCCTTTTAAGGTATAACACATTCAGCAAGCTCCCCATATTTAGTATTATTCTCTTTTTTTCCCCCTTTTATTTTTACGCACATATGCTATTTATCGGAATGCTGCCTAATTCACAGATGCAAATAAGTAAAATCATCTTGAAAAGATGAGGCTATAGAACAGAACGCAGTTTAAGTTGCGAATGTCTTTGATTCAAAGAGCTGCAACACTGGGACCCTGTAGTGGCTCCCAGCAACATCTCCTGGCTTCTACTGAGACCATTTTTCCCAGCAGAAAAAGATCTGCAGCTCCCACTGGTTTCAGCTTGACTAGTAGATTAATACATTCATGAATTAGGACTATTGCTTTTGACAAACTCACTGGAGTTTTGTCAGCAGCTCCACGTGAAAAGACTCGGTCTTCTGGCACAAAATGACCAAGAGCCAATAGTGGCCATACCAGGGACTACATCTTACAGGAATAAAATACATTTGTATTTACACCGAAGCTGTACTATTTTTTCACAGGTATGTTTGGTGCTGTTGCTGAAAACGAAAAGGAGAGGATAGCTTACATTTCATATCTAAAGTGGAATGCAGAAACGTTAATGCTGCAAAACGAAAGGCTATAAAGCTACTTCTGTGATTTTAAATCATGAAGCTAGTGCAAACGTGTACAAGCAAGACAACATTTTTCATGAGTTTTTCCAAAAAAGGCAAAAAGCACAACTACTTATTTCTGACAATGAAGCAGCTTACACAGTCTTTGTTCTACTGACACTTAAAAATGCAGTTTTCAATTATTTATAGTGTAGTTCAACACCTAAAGCAGGAAAAAAGTATAAAGTCTGTGTTCTGCAGCACAAGTAACCCTTACTGAAGGGTTCAATCTATTTATAATAGTGTTTCCCTTAAGGAACTACCAGTTGGCAGGGTAAACAGGCTTGGATTCTGCCATATTCTGTAATGCACTATCATCCATTAACACTCTGATCAGCCAGTAATGTTACACTAAACTTGTCATATACACACGTTATCAGAGAGGGTATTTTCTTCCCCCAGACATGCTGACCTCATTTAAGAACAGTTGGGAAATCAGAAGGTTGGCCACGCCCAAGGCATTGACATGCCAGCAGCTGAGTGGGTTAAGAAGTTGCCATATGAGCACACTTGTCAGGAGTTCAACAACCTCATCCAATTCACTTAGGGGGGGTTTAATTTAAACCTCTTTGAGGCAGCTGGGAGGACTCACCCCTGCTGGCCCACCAGCTCCGTTGTAGGGACAGTTGCTTTCAGCAGGGCAGCAAAATAATGCTATGATTTCAGACTGCTCCAGTCATTTGCAAAGTGAACATGCATCAGTGGTCTACATGTCTCAGGTGCTTTTGGAAATGTTAATCAGATTCAAACTGAGACACGCAAGTAGGTCTAGCGGCAGCATTCACACAGAAATTAAACTGAAATCAAGCGCTTTGGTGAAGGACAAAAAAAATTTGTCTTAAAAAAAAAAAAATTCTAGACCAAGATCCTTCTGGTTTTGTAAAATGGGTATAAAAATGGCCACCAACAAAAAAACCAAACATAGATGGGGCAGACCCAATCCAAACACAGTCCTTGCTCTCTCTCCTGTTTCTCTTCTTAGTCAGTCAGTCTAAAGTAGGCTTTTATCCATACCATAGTAACTCTCTGAACAGAGGCAATGACGACTTCCTCCACACACTGCTTTACCCAAGTGTTTTAGCACTGTTCTGGAAGAGCCTTCTGTAAGAGAGGGTCTATAGATCAAGTTTCATTCCAGTTAGTTACCTAATCAATACAAATAGGACTAGGACTTAACATAGAACTCCCAGGAGATCGTAATAATCACCCACAATTACTTATGAAAGCCAATCAATGACCAAGAGGTTTTATGTGTCATTTATATACCTTAAATCAAACTTCTGAAATTAAACTTTGATTCCTAACACGATTAGATGTTGCAGCACTAAGTGAAACAACGCACAAGCAAGCAGTGCCTCAAAGGCTGACTGCAAGGGCAACCAAGGATGGAGCCACGAGAACACGAGCAGCCCTGAAACACAGCAGCAAGGTGAGGCGCAACAGTAGAGTTGAGACAGTGGATACAGGAACAAGCATAAAAACAGTGAAATAAGCACCTACAGCTATCTTTTCCTCCTGTTCCTTCAATGAAACAGGCGACCTTCCAGCAGTCAAATGAAAGATAAGTAGAAAGTAGAAGGCAAGGTTCCCAGACCTGGATCTCAACTGTGGGAGGTAAAGGGAAGAGAGAGAGGCAGACACTTTATCTCATGTTTTCTTTTTTGCTTCTCACTGTGGGAAAGTCTGCAGAAACTGGAGGTTTACCGCTTCTGTCAAATTCATCACACAAAATACATTATGATGGGCGATTAACAAATTCAGGCTTTCTGTCAAAATGTCATGTGTCCCTCTGTAGCTTTGTTTCTGGTATTACCATTACATATGTACTACTATGATTTTTTTTTTAGTATCTGCATACCATAGTTGAGTAACTTCGCAGGCAGTGAGATCACCGTTCAAAAAAAGTTGGAAACACGCACGAGAGGCTATTAATTGTGCTATTTTTACTGTTCTGAAGTCCATACCATGAACAATGACTCATAAGAGTAGCAAGCCAGAGAAGCACTTGCGCATCATGCAAGCTTGTTTACTCATTTATTTGTTTGCACTGATTCATTATGTTCCTCGGCGTAAAATCTGCGGGACTCCAGAGAAAGCACGAGGGAGAAATTCTGTTTCCCGAAGAGCTCTTCCACCCACCATGCCCTACTGAGATGGTGGAGGCCACGCGAGGGGTTTGGGCATAGACCTCCTGTGTCCACCCCTGAGAACCAGAGGCTGGGGGAAGAGCCCCCGCGTACCCATGGAGCACGCTCCCCCTGGTGGCTTCGCCCAGCCTCGCTTGATCAGCATCCGCAGCAGGGCACGCGGAGCAATTAAAACAGGCAAATGTTTTGTTGGCTTGGTTTAAGTCATACGTGACAGTGTTGCTTCTTTTTCCCCCCTGTAGTCCTGAGAGGACATTAGCTTTTGGTGGGTCTGGGCAATTATCTGGGAGAAGTTTGGCAAAGTTCATCACAGCATGCAGTTACAAAAGCAAATCAGTTTTTCCATGCGATGCAGTGGCATTATGGACCCAGAAAGTCATTAGAATAAGTATGAAAAATAATTAAGAATAATAATATCTGCTTCACCTGTGAAACCCTGTTATGACATTAAAAAAACAATTGTCTGCCCAGGCCTAGACACATTTTTCTTCAAGCAGGAGGTGAAGAGGAGGTTGGTTCACTCTGCGTGCACTGATTGTTTTTTGCATAGAGTAGGGCTGATGTTTTGCTATTGCTGCCTTTGTCTTCATTTCACTGTTCTGCCTTGAGATTTTTTTTATCCTGTCTAGCAGGTTGCTTAGAAGCCTGGGCAATATGTTCCCATGTCCATATGTTGAAATCAAAACAATACGCAGTCAAAACAAAGACATTGTGAATATATCCCTTTTCTAATATATGGCTCATCTATCATAAAAGAGAAAAGAGTGTGTTGGAACTTTATCACATGACAGGACCAAACCATTTAACTTTAAAAGCAAAATCTCAAACACACCCCCCCCAACCACCCCACC